TAGGCATGGTAAGAGAATGAACACTCCTTATTCTCAGTGTGAGGCTGAAGGCATTCACTATTTCACTATTGAGTATGATGTTACTTTTTATCATGCCCCTTTTCAGGTTGAATATATTTTCTTTTATTCCATGTTTTCTAAGAGTTTTTATTGTGAATGATGCTAGCTTTAATTAAATGATTTTTTTCTCCATCAATTGCACTGCTATGATAAAGCTCACTTGTTCATGGTATATTTGTTTCTTATAGCTGGATTTGATTTTCTAATATTTTACTGAAGACTTGTACCTATATTTATGAGATATATTGTCTAGTAGTTTCATTGTCTTATCTTGTCCAGTTTTGATATCAGAATATTAATGGACTCATAGAATGAGTAAGAAACTACCTATTTTCTGGAAAAGGTTACATAAAATTATATTATTTCATTTTAAAATATTGGCCTAATTTACCAGTGAAATTATTTGGATTTGAAGATTTATTTGGGGGAACATTTTACCTACAAATTTAATTTCCTTAATACCTACTACTATTCAGGTTATCATTTCATATAGGGTGAGTTTTGTTAATTTATGGTTTTTGAGAAATTATTCCATTGAATCTACTTCATCAGTTGTTTGTAGTAGTTCCTTATTTTTTCTTTTAATGTCTGCATGCTCCGTAGCATTATCAACTTTCTTTAGTAATAATGGTAATTTGTGTAGTCTCTCGTCCCTCTTTGGCCTTCTGCCTACAAATTGATCAAATTTACTGGTCTTTGCAAAGAACCAGCTTTGGATTTTATTTATTTGCTTTATTGTTGTTTTGTCCTCTCTCTCTCTCTCTCTCTCTCTCTCTCTCTCTCTCTCTCTCTCCCCCCTTCCCCCGCTTTGGGCTTATTTTTCTGAGTGACAGCATATATTACTTGAGACTTTTCTTCTCTTATAATATACACATTTAATGCCGTACACTTTTCTTCTAAGCACTCTTAGCTGCACTCCTAGGATTTTGATATTTTGTATTTTCATTTTTGTTTAGTTCAAAATATTTTCTAATTTGAGGTTTTTCTCTTTAACATATGGGTTATTTAGAAGTGTGTTGCTTAGTATCCAAATATTTGGAGGTTTTCCTGTTAATACTCTGCCACTGATTTCTGGTCTAATCTTATTATGGTCAGAGAACATTCTTTGATTCATTTCAAATTTAAAGAAATGTTCAAGTTTGTTTTACACCTCAATATATAATCTATCTTAGTAAGTGATTCATGTACACTTAAAAACAATACTTCTTCTGGATGAGATAATGTCAGTTAGATCCAGTTTATTGATAGTGCTTTTTGGTTCTTCAATAGCAATTGTTGTCAACTGGAGATGGTTTTGCCTTCCTTCCACCAGGGAATATTTATCAATGTCTGGAGACATTTTTGATTGTCACATCTTGCAGGAGCATGTAGCAGAGATATTGCTAACAATACATAGGATAACCTCCCACAAACAATTATCCAATCCAAAATATTAATAGTCCTGAAGTTGAGAACCCTGTTCTATGTCATTGTTGATATTTTGCTTGTTCTACCAATTAATGAGGGAAAATATTGAAGCCTCCAACTGTAATTGTGGCCTTCTCAATACCTTCTTTCAGTTATGTCATTTGTTTTGCTTAACATAGATAGAAGTTTTGTTAGTAGGTTCATATATATTTAAGATTTTCATGTTTTCCTTGGGAATTAGTAGTTTTTTATATGCAGTGTTCCTCATTATCTCTAGTAATTTTCTAGGGAGTGTACTTTGACTGATATTAATATAGCTAATTCAGTGTTCTTTTGTCAGAATTATCATATCTTTAAAAATATCTTTACTTTTTTGGCTGTAATTGTCAAGTGATCATTTGTTGAAAGATTTTCCTTTGTCATTCTCAGCCAGCTGGACATCTGCTTCCCCCATTGACATCATCTGTAATGTTTGAAGAGTGGTGGCTATCAGTAGTGCAGACCACAGACTGGGAAGTCCCTAGTATCTCTTAAAAGATTCTAGAGAGTTCTGTAGCTAAATATCAGTGCTGTATCTATAAGACAATGTTGACAATTGCACCAAAAGTTGTATTTCTACTCTGACTACTGTTTATCTGCTTCTTTCTATTACTTGATAATTCTTTGAGGCCCTTAGTAATCAGGACAGAGGCAGAATGTTGTACTGTAGACTAAGTCTATGTGTTCTTTTTTTTCTCATTGAGTTTATTGGTACATTTTAGGTATACAATATAGTTATATTCATTATTGGGATCTTGTACCTCTACATGACAAGTCTTCATTCTCATTTTTTCCCCTTGTCCCTGCCCTCCCTTAAACCCCTCCTCCCCTCCCCATTTGCAAACACTTTATTTCCATTTTTTCATTTTCTCATACTTTGTTCTTTCCCCTCATTGCCTTTTCCCTACACTTCCCACTTTCCCTACACCTTTAGCCCTTTTCTTCCTATTTCACACTGTCATTTATCTCATTAGGATCTTATGTACTATTATAGTTTTTCACACCAGAGAAACTATTCAGTATTTACACATGTGTGACTTATTTGTTTAGTCTATGTGTTCTTAATGGTCAATTTTTCTCCCAATCGGCTGTTTTCTCATCTAAACAATATATAATATCTAACCCATTTTTGAAATCAAGACTTGGGAAGCTTATTTTAGGGACCAGGCTAGACATGGCAATGAATTTTCCACCAATATATCTCAGGCATATGACTTTGATATTGTGATTTTAACAGGAAGATGTGGAAGAAATAACTGATGTCAAATTAAATTAGAAATAGGGTGATATAAAGTTGCAAAATCAAAAGCCCATCCTTTTATTTTTAACCTTATAGTACTGTTTGAAGTGTGTATCTTACTGATAGCATATATTTGGTTCATATTTTCCTTCAGTTTGAAAAATTCTGTTATTAACTGGCCTGTTTAGATCATTTACATGTAATGTAATTATTGATATCTTTAGATGTAAGTACACTATTTCATTTTTTTCTCCTGTTCCCTTAATTTTTTGTTTTGTCTTTACTGCCTTCTTTTGCTTATTCAAACCTTTTTCTCTTCTGTTTTGATTTATCCATTGCATTTTGACTGTATCTCTTTGTATCTTTTTGATCAAGCTGAGAATACAATAGAAATACTTTAGTTGGAATGCTTTACCACTTTAAGTGGAACATAGAAATATTACCAACATTTTGGTAATATTTATCCTCCACCATTTGTGTAGCTAATTATCTTATACATTACATCTACATACATTGAAAACCTCATCAGAAGATGTACTTATTTTCACTTTCGACTGCCAACTGTAAAAGATCTTTATAGAAGAACAGCAATTTATTTTATTAAGAACAACTCACCTTCATTCTCTAAGAAGGGGAAAATCTGTCGCATCACTCCAACCCCACTCCACTGTATCCCTGTAGCCTCTCTCCTATCCCACATATTAGGATTTCCTATTGCTGTGATACAGGCTATTTTCCTGGACCCTAATAAACTATCAGGAATTCTGGTATGGTGTTATTAAGAGGGCAGTTTCTTCTTGTGAATCATTCATGAGACATTGAGATTTTATTTTGTTGTGGGAGCAGCAATAATATGATGGAATACAAGTGTTCACAATTAAATACATGTGGTTGGATACATTGTGTCATCAGTAGACAATGCTTGAACTTTAAAATCATCCAGGTCTTTGGGAAAGGAAGTGGACGACTAATGTTAATTAGAATCCTTCTCACCTTTATGCATGCATCTCTTAATAGTGCCCTGTTTAGCCATGGTGTGTTATAGTTTTTATTGCCTCAGAAATCTCCCTCCACACACACATACACACACAATTTCATTACTGAACTATACACTTTCAATGGTCAAATGATTTTAGCTAGAAAGGTACATCCTTAGCCTGTGAGCATTAGTGAGAGTGACCAAACACTTTATCATGCAAAGCAGGATACACTTGAAGCAAAAGGGGACACTGTTACTTACAATGCCAAGAGAGCTGAACCTCATAAAATGCATCATAAACTGCACTGTAGCTGAGGTTGAACAACCAACAGTTATTTAAACCATGGGGAGGAGGGTAGTGGCAATGGTCTTGACCTTAGAGAATTTGAAGAATGTGTAAGAGCAATCTTTAGGATTGAAATAATTCAGTCATTCAGAACCTCATTGTCAAGTTAAAAGGAATTTTCTTGAGCATAAGCTCTCCTCTCATGTGCCACAACCCCCCTGCAAGTGAAGTTATTATTTTCAATCAGAGATAAGGAAATGGGAGGTTAGAGAGAGATTGCAAAAAGTTCAAGATCACATAGGCGGATATGGGCACAGCTGACACTAGAATCTTGCCCTTTACGATTTTAGACTGTAACTGGATGTTATGTAGTGTTGTGTGCCAGATATAAACTATGTTAGCAAAGGATCGGGATCCAAATCCCAGTTCTGGTACCATATCAGCTCTGTGACCTGAATTAACCTGTATGATTACAGTACAATTGTGAGAGTAGTAGCTTATGTTTATGCAATGCTTGTCATTTACTCCTGTACTACTTGTTTTCCTTGTGCTATCTTATTCATGCCTCCCTCTAACCTCATCATGTAGGTACTATTGGAAACCACATTTTGCAAATGAAGGAGATAGCTTGAGCCTCTTTCAGGCTGGAAAAGTGTTCACTGCATGGTAAATATACAATAAATACTGGTTTTCTTTCTCTACTGACTGTAAGACTACATTGTAGCTCTGGAACCATTCTGTTTCATAATATTGTTCAGGAAGCTTTTAGGAGATGATCACCTTTTCTAAAAGTGAGCTTGTTTTGGGAGTTTTTGCAAAGTCTAAATATATATATATACATATATATATATATATTTGATGTGGACAGAATCCCTTCCACCTTCTTGAAACCGTTTTGTACCATGCAGTGGTTGTGGCCATGCATGAAAAACAGCAGGTGGTGCCAGATGACAGATGGTGTGGAGCTTGTTCCCCGGTGGGAGGGGGCACGAGCGAGGGAGCGAGAGAGCAGGCAGCTGCCAGGAGATCTTCCCCACTCTCTGGCGCCTCGCTCTCAGAAGCTCCGGATCCCGACACACGAGAGGCGCTGTCCTTTCAGCACCACAAGCTCAGGGCTGAGGAGGGAGGACTCCTGCTTGTCCTCCTCTTCAAATTGGCTTGAATCTGCTCTGACCCCCCAAGAGTACAGCGCAGTAAGTAGGCATTTGTTTTTGTTGTAACCACTCCCCGCTATCTTCTAAACCCTAACCCCCCTCATTTCCCCCACAACAACCCTGTTTTATCTAATGATGTTCCATTAGCAGGTTTGACAAGAGAAATTCAGTTGTGCTGGGCTTTTGAGGGTAGTGTGGAAGCACTGTTTGACTTCCAAGGGAGCTGGAGAGGAATAAATGTGATTTGCTTATTTAGTTGGCAATCTTGCAGTACGGGGGCTGCTAACTTTCCATGGAACAACAACAACAAAAAATGGCCCTTCGCTATTGAGGAAATGGAGGAATTCCATAGCTGAATAACAGGATCAGGTTTGTGCCAGCCCCCCTCTCTTTGGTTTTATTTTAGGAAATTGAATCTAATGTAAATCTACATATGATACAAAATGGTACACCTAGAGATATTGAATGTATTTTTTGTGCTTTCGGGGGATTGATGAAGAAAAATCCATACAAAAAAATAACATCGGAGGATGAAGTGAGATAATACTGCAGGATTTCATTATGCACTAAGACTACACTTTCTACTGGGATTATATGAACACTTTAGCTGTAGTGTTTTGAATGTTTTTAAGCTTGCATTTTTTTCATGTAGGTCTGGGATTTTCCTTGGTTCCCTCCATTTGAGGGCTGTTGAACCCAGTGATCAGGTGGCATGTTCTGGTGATTAAAGAAGTTTTACTGGACAATTGGGAATCATGTCAGAAAATCTAGTAGTTGATAACTGATCACTAGGCTGAAAGCCACCCAAGTGGAGCTGTTGAGGACAGCATTATTTTCTCTGTTGTCAGTCCTCTTCTTTCCTGCCTCATCTCCTGCTGTAACCAGAATCCCATTGCTTGTCTTAGGTCTGGGAAGAAAGGCATAAGGATGGTGAAGCTGAACAGTAACCCCAATGAGAAGGGAACCAAGCCACCTTCAGTTGAGGATGGCTTCCAGACCGTCCCTCTCATCACTCCTTTGGAGGTTAATCACTTACAACTGCCTGCTCCGGAGAAGGTAAATCAGGTGTTCTTCCTCTCATCAGTCCTTCAGAATCCCTTTTCTAAGGCAATAAAACAGCAAAACATTCCACTCCAAAGCCTTTCATTCCTTAATCAGCCATATACTCTCTTTCTTGTAAAATGTAGTTACTGTTTCCAGAGATAAGACAGCTGTGTGTTATTTCAGATTTATGGTGTTTGTTCATTTTAGCTCATATCTACATACATGGGTGAGCAAATTGACCTTTCTTTTTTAAAGTTTTGTCACAGCAGATGAATACAAATAAGCTCCTAGGTGGTGACAGGAAAAAAAAACCTGTCCTGATTATTTTGGGGAGGCATTTCAAAAATTGGCTAGTGTAGATTTGAGGACAGAGACTTGGATTTAGTCCAACAAACATTCAGTTTGCACCTGCTCAGGCTCTGTCCCTATAGTAGGAGTTGGTTATAAAAAGAAAAAATATGAAATCATTATTTAGTATGACAAATGAGAGTAATGCATCATGGTAAATGCTATGCCTGAGCATTACAAAGCTTGTGAGAAAACATGCATGGAAACAACTAAATTCTGTCAGGGTGGGAAGAGGATGAGGAGGATTTCAGCATAGGACTGGGGGAATAGGTTAGATGAGCTGCAGAGGGGACTATTAGAACTGGGTTCTTGAAGGTGAGTAAAAGCCTTCCAGGTAGACCACAGGAGGAACATGCATTTAAGTCAGAAGGCTCACACATGCACATCTGGGAAGCTTTTGGGGAGCAGAGTGGGAGTAGTGTGTCTTTGGTGGAGGCGTGGCTAGGAATGAGTGACTGACTGATGGCACATCTCCTGACATGGGAGTAGCCCATTAAGAATGGAGGTGGCATTTATACAAAGACTGGGGTGGAGGGTGTTATGCCATGTACATGGGTGGGGGAAATATTGCATTTAGGATCCACCTGAGACAACTTGCTATTTTGTAATATGAGATTGTACATACTATAAAAGAGAGATTTGGAGGTAAATGATGGAGTTCCCTGGCTGAAGGTGAGCAATGGATCATTCCATCCGTTTGATTTTCTCATTGGCATGTCCAGGAAGGTATTGTGTGTCTTAACCAATTGGCTCCATCCAATCAACAGAAGAGGAGCCAAAGCTAGATAAACAGCCTGGCTGATTGGTTGGGGATTGAGTCATTCGTTTTGAAAGTGCAGAGGTTGTCAATATGAGAATAGTGCCAGGATAGGGTAATAAAAATAAAGAATTCTTGAGCCATCCTGAGAAAGGATAACACCCTTAAACATAACTTTGAACAGGCAGTTAACACTAAAGAATCATGAAGAGATAGTATTGAGTACTTGTTACATGCATATCAGGTGGATTTTTGACTATATATTAGAATCATGTGGGAATTTTAAGCTCCTGGTGTCTTGAGCCATGTCTTAGAATAATTCTTTTAGAATGGCTACAGTAAGACTTGGATATCAGTATTAATGACATTTCCTCCAAGTGAATCCTATGTGCATCAAAAGTTGAGAACCTTTGTTTTAAATGGGTGATACCCCTAGGAGTCAAGAGTTATGAGCTTATGTTTATAGGTTAAAATTTTTTGAGTTATCCAAGTTATCAGAAGAGTAAATAGAAATGCTAAAATTTGAATCTAGACATAAGAGGAGGCTGGATAGGTGAAGGGGAGATATTGTCCTGAGGTTCTGAGGCCAACAGCTACAGCTTTGAAGACCTAAGCAGAGTGCAATGAAACGGTACTGTGATAAGGTTATCTTTCTCCCATCCATCCATACACCTACAAGTAGAGATTGCTGTGATCTCTTTCTTCTCTTACTCTCCCTATCCACCTGGGATTTCTTTTCTCCTTGAATAAAGAGACTGACCCAGTGTTCACTCAGCATCAAGTCCAGCAGTACCAGAAAGTCACATAAGGCTTGAAGCATAAATATCTTATTTCTATGGTGGGACCTGCTTGCATGGAAAAGAAAACATGCAAACTAAAAAGTGCCATGGAGTCCAAGTTTGACTACAAATTTCTAATGGGACACATTTCTACAGGGGCACATCATAGATGATCTCAGATATTCATGGAAAAAAGGGAAATAGACCTCAGTTTTCTCTTCTGTGAAGTGAGAGGAATCACACCTAACTTATAACAGTCAGAGCAAAGATAGATATGGCCTCTATAAAGTATCCAGTACAAAATTGACCATGAAAGAATAATAGTTGCCATTTTTCAAGTGCTTCGTAAATGTTAGATGTCAGATGTTGTCCTGAGCCACACACACAGACACACACAGACACAGACATACACACACACACACACACACACACACAAACACACACACACCCCTTTCATTCTTTCAATAATTAATAGAATCCAACAAGGGGTTCCATTAAAATCCAATTTTTAAAGAAACTCAGATGCAGAGCAGTAATGTAACCTCCAAAAGTAAAGCATTAGTTATGGAACCTGGCAATGTTGTTCCATCCAGAACCTCCCACATCGGCAGGAGCGAGGAGTGAGCTTGCCTGAGAATCCATAGAGTTAGTCTTTAGCTCTAACTCAGTCACTAGCTTACAGTGTGGCTTGCTTTACCTCCCTTAGGTGTGTGAGGTGAGCTTTGGTGCCCCATCCTCACTGATGAGGAAAACAAGGATCTAGTTAATAGAGCGGCCTGCCCAAATTCTATAGACAAGGATTACAACCAGGCTCAGCGTTCCTGACACCCCAACTTTTTTTGCACCATTCTGGCTCCACTGCTAAGAAACCTTCCACCCTGGGAGAATGCTTCATCAAACTCTATGTTCCCTCTTCTGTCACTATCACTTCCTGAATTCCCTTCCAGATAGGCTCATGGACCTTCAAGTGAGGCCCTTGGAGTTATTCCCCAGAAATGATGCCATCACCTTCTTGTTTCCGCCCTGTCCAGTGTTGGAGAGATTGGTCGCTGACTTGGGAGAGGAGGTGGCCAGCCTCAGGTGTTTACCTGCTTCTGCTATCTTCACTTAATTCTCCTCACTGCCTCTGAGATTCCTTAGCATTGTGAACAGTCCTCTCCCATGGAAACCCTTTCTATTCCCTCATTCTCATGTGGTACCATCCAGAGCCCTCATCTTGGCATTCCTGGTCCTGCATTGTCTGGCTACTGGTTTTCATTCTTCTATTCCTACCTTGTCCCTTGAACACCAGCATGTCACACCTCTCTTGCACAGCAGTTTTCAATGGGGGAGAATTTTCCATTTCAGGGGGACATCTATCGATGTCTGGAGAACTTTTTGGTCATCATAAATGGAGGGGTGATTCTACTGGCACCTAGTGAGTAAAGGTCAAGAATGCTGCTAAATATCCTACAGTGTACATGACAGCTTCACCTGCCTCCTCCTACAAAGAATTATTCTATCCAAATATCAACAGTGCTGAGGTTGAAAAACCCTGCCCTGGAGTTTCTACATTCTCTGGGAGTTTTCTATGCCTCATCCTCCTTGAACATGCCATTCCTTCTGAACAGAATGCCCTTCTCACCCTTTGCCTATTTGATAAGACAACATTCATCTTCCTAAACTCAGTTCAGACAGTAACTATCCTGCACCCTGTCCTTGACCACCCATGAATATATCCATGGTGATATTTATCACACTGGAAGGTATCCAATCTCCTTCCTTTCCTTCCTTTCCTTCCTTCCTTCCTCCCTCCCTCCCTCCGTTCCTTCCTTCCTATTATCCAATTTTGTTGAGTACCCTCTATGCACCAATCACCATGTGAGACTATGCATATACATGAAAAGACAATCTGGCCACTGATTTCATAGAATTCCATGTCCAGAGGGGAAGAGGGACCTCAAAGAAGTGATCACCCAAATAGAAGTGCATAGAGGCAAATTATTAGAAGTAATACTGAAAGAAAAGAAGGTGCTATAATGTAAGAGAGGGTAAAACTTAGGAGACTTTAATTCTGATGGGAGGATGGCCAGGGAGGTGTTTCTGAGGAAGTAGCCCTGGCTGAAACCTGATAAGGGGAGTGAGGGCAAAGGACTAGCATGCAGGCATGCAGCAAAGAGGGTGGAGGAATGATCATGGAGCCAGGTTGGCTGGGAATGCTGAGAGAAGGGGAAAGCTTAGGAGATGAGGTGAGGTGGGTGCAAGTCATGTGTTGTCTGGTGTACATTTTTTGGAAGGGACAACACAGGAAAGTAACAGGATCTGAGTCTTATTTTAGGATGACTACTTTAGCTGCTCTGGGCAGCCTAGGGACAAGGGACAGGCTAAGTCTCATGCTTGGTCTTCATGGCTTCTCTTCCTCTTTTCTTCCAATCATTCTTCCATATAGCACTGGAGCATTTATCCCTAAAACAAATGTGACTCCATTTCTTGCAGTTACCCCACAGAGAGTAGTGGAAGAAAAGTTCAGAAGGTGTGATACCACCTAGAAGGCCACTGCTGTGTCAATGAAGTGGTGGTTGGAACTAGAGCAGTAGGATCGGGGGGTTGGTTGGCTTTATTGGTGCTATGCTGGCTGTGAGGAGAATTTAACCTCTGTTCAAATTGCCCACTAGGCCTGAGGCCTCTGGTCTACATCACCTCAGTAGTGTTAGTCCAGATAAGCAATGGGCAGTGGGCAATATTGGCTGAATAAGGCACCCTATTCTGTTCTAGTTAGAACTGGCCTCATTTTCTCCACAGGTTCCATGGAGAAACTAAGCAATTGAGTGGCTTTCTCTAGAACACAGGAGCAAGCTTTGGAGAAGCTGCAATATTAATTGTTAGACATTGAATTCTGGGACATGTGTTTGGGGCCTTGATGCCTTCAGTTTATCTAAGTAACCACAACAGCCTAGCTGTCCCCACAGCTCTTCTGTGAAGTTTCTGCCATTATCTACATTCTATAGAAGCAGAAGCAGACTCAGAGAGGTTACCTGCTGTTTTAGGACACACCAAGAGAAATCACTGCATCCATGATCCCCATGCAGGTGTGCTTAGAGATGCTAACTAATAGATGGCAGGTATGCAGAAACAAACCACAGATGGTA